TAAAATGTAATAGCGACGTCACAACACACCATAACTCGGACCCCTAAAAATGTTGTGGTGGGAATAACTGGTTGATCTCGTCATTAGCATATGGAAGCCAAGAAAACTGTAAATATTAAATATCAAAGTTAGTATATATAAATTTAATTTTTAAAAACAAAATAACAATTAAAGAACAAATTGATATCGAATATCAACTGGCGATGTCGGTCCTCATCTCTGTATCCCGTGCAGTGGCACCCGCCAACTTCATCTCAACTATTTTATGACGCCATCTAAAATATTTAAAATTAAAAAAATATTATAAACAAATAAAAAATAACTAAATTAATCAAATTCAAAAAACAGTTAAATAAATGAAGTTAAAATTTAACTTGTAGCCAGAGGAAACTCGACCAAGGCTGGTGTAATTGGCATAAAATATTTTAATCGATACCAAGCCTAGGACTGTAGCAATATCAGATAGCCTTCTACATCCACTTTTTGACCTGATTGGACAATTGCAGCCTTGCAAAGCTCCCGATATAGAAAGACTAAAATCGCCGAGCCCCAACTAGTATTACGACACACATCAAAGTCTTCCAAAAATCGTAGATACTGAGCGCATGCCAAATAACCAGATTTATTCGGTAATAATACAGAGTTAGAGAAGATATGTTTGGGACACAAAAATAACCTCGTCCTTGGTAGAGTCGGCCATCATATAGAATTTGAACTCCAACCACGTAATCCGTACTCGATTGCCCTCGATGACATCAGATAGTGTCTATTTTCCCAAAACTTGGTAGACCAACCTCGCGGGGTTATAAATGTTTTACCTCACCATAGGGGCTCCATTCACCGAAACACCGAGTTGGTAAGCGATGTCTTCCAAAGTAATCATCGCTTCACCACTCGAGAAATATAATGTGTGCATCTTCGCTGCCAACGTTTTATTAGAGCCTCAATCAATGTCGGGTACAACTTGAAGCCACATACATATATAGATGGAAATAGACTGGATTGCTGCAGATATATTAGCATCCGCTGGTGCAGCTCTCTGTATGTCATCTCGTGCCTATGAATATTCTATTTTTCTTCCGGCGGGAGTTGGATCGATGAAATATAGACGTTATCCAGATACAACATTTCTTCTCGAGAAACCATTTTTCACGATTTTTACAGAACGTAGGATTTTTTCCGCTTTTTTTGGATTTACTGTTTGGTGAAAAACCAAAACTCCAAACCCCTATTTATTGTCTTACCCTTAACGACTATAAGCGTCTATTTTTTTAAAAATCTCGGCCGAACTCATCACCTCGAGGTGACGAGTTCAAAGTGACCGTTGCCCAAGTGACCCTTAACCAACAACTAGTTTTTCGAATTTGAAGGAACTTGTCACTTTGGCCCAATACGCCAAGCGGGTTAATTAATTAGTGTATTAGGCCGGCCCAATTTTCATTCTGGGAAATACGATAAATGCTACAATGGCCACTGAACTCATCACCTCGAGATGACGAGTTCCTTCGAATTTTTTAAATATTATATTATTATTTTGTGATTTAAAAAATAATTTTTAATACAAGTGACGAGTCATATTAATGACAACAAAATAATGGCCCATGTTAATTAGCCCGCTTGGGGTATTGACCCGAAAAAACCACACCTCTGACTCTTGTTGTTATAACTCAGAGCTGCCTCCAAACAGGGCTTAGGAAAGGGATAGTTGACAATTCCCCTTTATTTGTACCACATCAAGATGCCTCCACCTGACGATTAAATATCTCCAAGAGTCTCCTTTATGGATGAGGGATTTGAGAAACTGTCGCACTATCTATTGATATAATAACTCCATTATCGCTATCGATGATTGGCCATAAAGAGTCGAGATGCATCTACTATCTCTTTGCAATATTGAGATACTGATATGTTTTCCTAAATCCTCCACGTAAGATGTCAGACTATATGCGAGATTATTACAAGGAACATCAATAAAATGACAATGATCCCATCTTCCTTTATTTGTGTCGTTTCCATTACATATACATCCTCTTAAAGCATTGAGAATATAACGCGAAGAAACGTTTTCCTTATGACATATATGTCTTCATTTAGTGTTTAGAACTTTGTATAAAGAAAAATTTGCCCTATGGTTGATACATTCACATCTAGCGTCAAAGTCTTTACATAAAGAAGCCTTTGCACCAAGACATGATGGAGATGCTTCAACTTTGCCATTGCATCGAGATGTTCCACTAAGTAACCCAACTTGTAGATAACTCTGCTTACATTTATACAAAAGCAATAAAACACCTCCAATGCCATCTCCATTTTAAACGATTTATTCCCAATATATCCTCCGGAGAAATGATAACTCCTCTACTAAAATAGACCATCGTCCTCCATTTTCGTAAATATTATACTCTAAAAATATTGGCAAAAAGAAACCTTCATCTATTGTCCGACTTCTTTGAAAATATTGAATTGTCTCATCTCTGATCCTGAGAGTCGAGATGCTCAACATAAGTCTTAGATCAAACAAATTTATGACATTTTCTTGACCAGGGGACAACTATTATACATCTAAAAGATACTCTCAAGAAATACACGACGACGACAATATCTCTGTCCACAAATTCAATTGAAGTTTCATACTCCCTAAATGCGTACAACCCTATAATTAGACCTCTGATAATATCATATCATCTATCATAGTGAAATACAAGATCTAATTATCATATTTATTTAGCTTGTTGACCTATGAAGTAGTCATATTATCTTATGTCTGACACTGCCAGCTAAGACCATCATAAATAACCCTCAGCCACGATTGAGAATGGGTTATCTCTCGAAATCTTCCATCTTTAACTTAGAAAAATATCCTCTCCTATGCTACCTTTCTACTTTTATCTCTCACAAAAAATCACCGACTAAAGATCATCCTTGCACCGACCATGACTCTTTATCTATATAAAAAAAGGATTGATTGCCAATGACCGATGCAACCCACTTATTCCCATAAAAAAGTTAATTCCACTAAAAATAAATAAATAATAATTTATCCAAATTGAAGAGAAAGAATCAAGATTTTTTCGATAAAAATGTTTAGAAATTTTAATACTTTGAAAAGATTTTGAAATTTTATTTTTTTTATATTTATACATTTTAATATTTTTAATTTTATAATTTTCACTTTTCTAAATTATTATTTTTAATATGTTTTATGAATAATTTATATAATTTTTAGTTTTTTATTTTTTTAAAAAAAAGTAAAAAATTACCTCTTAAACTTTCAACTAAAACTAATTATGTCATTATACTAAGCTAAAAAGTCTATTATGCCCTCAAAGTTAATTAAAAAAGACATAATGAATAAATTAGCTCCCAACATTTGAGCTAATGGTAATTTTGCCTTATATTATTTTTTTGGAACATTTTAGCTCTTAACGATCAATTTTTAGTCAAAATAACTCATGTTGGATGGTAATCGTTATATTAGTCACGATCAACACATTGTCGATGTGATAATTTTACAAGTGTTTAATTGATGTCATAACATGTGTCATATCATCACTTTGGATGATGTGACGTATGACAGATCATCACTTTAGAAGAGGTGATATATGACACACAATCATTTTAGGAGACATAATACATGTCAAGTCATCATTTTATGTTACATGCACATCATTACTTTGGGTTACATGCCACCTTTAACTTCATTATTTTGGATGACCTGAGATATGTCACATAATCATGTTGAGTGACATGACACATACCATAGTATCTTATTGAATGATGTTATACATACCACATCATCACTTTGATAATGTGGTACGTGCCATAATATCATGTTGGGTGACGTGAAATACCACATCATCATTATGATTGATGTGCCACATGTCATGTCACCACTTTAATGACATTTCATGTGCCACACCATCATGATAGGTGATGATGTTACGTCAATATTTTGGTGATGTTGCACATATTACACATAATCACTTTGGTGATGTTGCACATACTATGCAATAATGTTCAGTGATATGAAATATGCCACATTATCGTGTTTAGTAATGTGGCATATACCACATCATCATTTTGAGTGATGTGATACGACACATCATTAAGTTGGATGACGAGGCACTTACTATATCATCATATTGAGTGACGTGATATATGACACATCATCATTTTGGTAACGTGAAACATACCTCATTATAAGGTTGGATGATGTGACGCATGCCACGTTATTGTGTTTGTAATACCTCAACTTTTGGTGAGTGACTAAAATGTAAGTTTTGAAAGCTTGATGACTAAAGTATAAACTTTGTAAAAGTTTAGGGACCAAAAATATAATTTAAAAAAGTTATATATTTTAACCCGTAAGTGAACAATTTGGCCTAAAATAAGAATTTTCGTGAGAATCAGATTTCCGATACAGGGTTTGTACTAAAAGCTATAAAACTATAAAGTTCGGTATAGAAATTTGGAAAATTTGATCAAATCGATTTTTCACGAAAATTTGAAGTATGTTAGATAAAGGTTGGAAACATTACTTCCATATTTTAAATCAGCGAAATTTAGCACGGATCAGTAGAAGTTAATTTTTTTAGATTTGGCAGAATAATAAGAATTTAGTGACTAAAATGTAATTTTTAAAATTTGCATGACCAAATTAGAAAGTCAAAGATAAATTGGTTTATCTTTGACTATGGGATATTTCTATGGAAGATATTTCAATGACAATTTGTAATTATCATGATTTATTAAGGGTGCAAACAAAGCTCTGTTTAACAGTATTTGGGCATGTTCTTGTCAACATAAGATTAGATTGAAGGTAATGGAAATCCGCAAACAATTTTTTTTCTAACTCGACAAAACATCTATAACAAACGTATGTTGCAATACCCCTGTTGTCTTCATGTTCGAATATTGTGGAAACTAAAATTCATATTTTCGTGACTGTCAATTAGCAAATCTAGTATGACTTGCCTTGGGTTACCATTGGCCTCAAAATGTGATAGATGTGTCGTTATTCAAATAGATGAAATGGTTGTTCCAAAATCATACAAATACAAAGCATACAGAGATAAGAGTAACTCTATGGGCATTATGGTACGCAGGCAATCGACTTCTTCATGAAGGAAATATTGTGAAGATTGAAGAGATCATTACCTTTGTTCAAGCGCAGTGTATAGACTTTCAATTGGCAAATGCCAGTCTCCACGACCCTCATTTGCTGTCGATGGTCCATTGGAAGCCTCCCCTGCTCAAGAAGCAAATGCATAATTTTTGAAATGACAACAGAAATCATGGTCAGGAGTTGCGATTAGAAATAATGAACGCTTTGTTATGGGTGCATGTCGTACGTAAGGAAAGCTTATTACCTTTGCATTTCGTGCAGAAGCCTTGGCTGCGGTTCATGCCATTCAGTTTGCAGAAGACATCGGCCTTCGGAATGTGGTTTTAGAAGGGGATGCACGGACAGTGATAGAGAATATACTCTCAGTGGAACTAGATTTTCAGAGATCAGTGCCTTGACCTGGGAGGTGAGCCGGAGAGCACTGTCATTCTATGCATGCACCTACCGTTTTACTCCACGATCAGCCAATATCGCTGCTCACCCGTTAGCTGCTGATGAGAGTTGTGGATCTTAAGATTGATACTAGATTGATGAAGGTCCTTAGTGTGTAGAACAACAAGTCTCGGAAGATAGAAGATGGATAGACCCACCGTAGCCTCTCACCGGAGACGCCAGATCGCTGGTCAGTTTAGGATCTACTTTATTTTTTGAATCTTTATTGTGCGGGTGTTTCAGAGTTTCCATCTTTCCACGAGGAAGAAAAAAGGCCAACATCTTTTATTTTCTATTTACTTTGTTTTGCTTGTTTTAATAAACTTTATTGCTTTGTTTTCTTTTGCTTAGTGCGTTGTAGGTGGGATGCACCAAACTGTAGCTTTTATTTCCTTCTCAATAAAAGCTGGCACTTTTTTGGGTTAAAAAATACTAGAGCAAGAAAGAATCAGACAAAGATATACATCTTAAAAAATAAGCAATCTTCTTGTACAAATTCATAAATTGCAGGGATAGAGTCAGGGGCAAAGCATATAAAATTATGAAATCTAACAAAATAAAATATCATTCACTGATAGAATAATTTTATATTTAAATCAATTGTAATTAAATGTTTATTTTATATTAATAATGCCTAATTAATTGTAAAATTAAACCAATGAATAATATAATGAACCAAATTGTCTTTTTTTTAGTATACAGAATAATTAAATAAGTAGGGCTAAATTCCAATACTTTGCAACACACTCGCGGAACCAAAAAGCAAACAACATTCATAAAATCATGTTAAAGATATTCATTAATCCATTAATTAAAACTATGCACTAAATCAGTTTTTTTTGAATTTTGGTAGGGGCAATAAAATGTATATAAAATATGGGTGTAATCTCATTCATTAAATACATTTATTACAAGTTTTGGAAAAAAAAACATAATTTATTAAATTGAGGGAGGAATAAAATATGGGGTGCAATCTCATTTATTAACTACATTAAAAGAATAAAAAAAAAAGGCTAGCTATGGTTTGCAATACTTTTGCAGAACTTTGTGCTTTTCCAAGTTCTCTTCTTTTCACCTCCCAATCTTGAATTTTGGAAGCAGGAAATTATAGTGCAAGAAACGAAAGAGATAGGAAACTTATATTTTTATTGTATATATACAATAATAGAGCAAGAAATAAGCAGACGAAGATATACATCTTCAGAAAGAAGCGGTCTTCTTGTACAAATTAATATTCATAAATTGAACAAATGAATAAAAAAAAAGGTTAGCTATGGCACCTACTACTCTATCACGGTCTGCATTCTTTCCTCTTCTTCTGCCTTTTTCCAAGCAGCCTGAAAATAAAGAACCAAACAAACAAAAATCCATTAAAATGGAAAAATCTGAAGAAAAACTAAATAGCATTCATGTATAGTTGAGAGAAGCTTGCCTTGTCTCGTTCAAGTCTGGAAAAGTGTGGTTTCATGGAGTTTCCTAAGCTTAAGCCTCCCCATGCTTCTTTCAACTCTCTATCCCTTGCTACTCTACGAGAAACAGAGAATCTAATCTGTTCACTTGGTTGCTCAACAGTTTCCATCTTCTCTTTCTCTAACTTTGACTTGTGTTTAACCAAAATCTGATCCAAACTACCTTGGTCATCCACCGGTGGCATGTTTACACCTCCCCTCTTCTTTAACTTCACCAGTTCATTTGCATTGAATTTCAATTTCTCTTTCTCTAGTCTAGAAGCATGCTTCACTAAAACTTTGTCCAAGCCCTCCAAACTAGAGACTGGCTTAACCAGGATTTTATCTAGGTTATCTTCGCTTTCAGTGCTATTCGCTTCCTTATTCAAGTTGATATTTTGTTTTCCAAATACTTCTCCATTAGCCTCCCTGCCTTTCTCAACCAGATTATTTTTTCTTCTGCTCTTGGCTTCCTCGACTTCTCTTTCTAGCCTTGAGACATGTTTCACCAGAAACTTATCCAGACCAGGTACTTCCGCAATATCACCTTTCTTTTGACTAGCCCCCCCATTTGGCATTCCTCCGCTCTCATATGTGTTACCATGATTCCTTTTTGCCTCTTCAATTTCCTTTTCAAGTTTTGAGGAATGCTTAACCAATATGCTTCCGAAGTCGGGAACGGCATTAACGAAACTACCTGCATCTGACTTTTTATAATCCACCTCAGAATTCTCGTTGAAATTATTTTCGTTTGCCTGAATTCCTTCCTCAGAATTTAAAGAATGCTTCATATGTGTATGCCCACCTCCATCTTTAGATTCGTTCCTTCTGTTCCTGGCTTCTCGTACCTCTCGTTCAAGCTTGGTCAGGTGCTTAACCAAAAACTTGTCCAGACTTGGGAGTTCAGAGTCAAGTTGTCCAGTTTGGTTAGTTTTTCTTACAGTTCCTGCTCCAATTGAAGATGCTCTTCTAGCAAAATTAAGAGCTGGAGCAGAGGGATGATTCTTAGTGTGTTCTACTTCAGCCAAGGCAGCATTTAAACCACAAGTTGCAACTATTGTAGCAAGCGATGAGAGTTCAACCTCTTGTAAACATTTAAGCCTCTCAAGCATAATCTCTACAAGCTTTTCCGGGTTGAGCTTTTCAAGAGATTGCCTCCTCTTAGCTTTCTTCTCTCTATTCTTTGAAGCTGACATCTTGCAATTGAAGTCTTCAGACTTGAAATCGACTTCTTGGGAAAGTACCTCAAGTTCTGAAGATGCCTCTGATGATCGACATTCTGAAGAGATCTCTGCTGACTCTTCCTTGCAATCACCTGTATCTGGATTCTCATTGATTTTCTTTAGAAGGTCTTCAAATTCATCTTTATTAAAAGAGGAGCAGGATGCAAGCCTCAAGAAAGCAGCCTTTACAGCCGCGGCCACTTGTTTATCTACCTCAAATGCTGTTTCAAAAGATGCTCTAATGGTATGTGTAGTAGAGCCTGCCTTATTTATCGTGGATGCTTCAATCTGACAGGTACTCTTAGGGCAGTTAGGAATATCATACATTATCACTCCCAAAGTTGTTGCTGATTCAAAAGCCGCTGCAGCAGCTTTCTCAGCTTTCAACAGCAGTTCATCAGCTTCCGAGCTTCGAATTCTGCAAGATTTCAGGAATAAGAAAGTGAAGGAAAAAAAAAAAAACCCCACATTGTTATGTCGTATATGCAAGCAAAATAATACCTGGCTGCTTGGAGTATTCTACACCAAGATGCTTCTACCAGTGCTGCCTTACGAGCCTCAATTGCCTTGTGTGCAGCCTCTCTTGCTGCCATTTTTTCTCTCAAAACCCTACAGTAATGAGGACTTGAATCTTCCAGGGTCTCATCAAGAGTCAAATTCATACCATCTAATTCCTGAAAAAAAGCCCCCACATCAGTTAATTTGGTCAAAATAGATGAGAAAAGAAGATGTGGAATCAATTTTAATGTATATGTTCAAAGGATAGAACCTGCATCATCTTTATTTTCCTTTTCAAATAAGAATCAATCTTTCTCCGGGGGAACCAATTCAAAGGAGAATTCTTCCTGTGTGAAGGCTTCTTAATTTGGGATGTAAATTTGTTTAGAGCATTCAATGCTGTGGGACTGGTATCCTTGGTTGATTTATTCTGCACCGATCACAAAAGCAGAATTATAAAACAAAATGAAAACAGTGCTAAGTTGCAGAGCAGAAACATTTGTAGGCAATTTAAGAAGGGTAAGTCCATAAACCCCCAACGCATTTATTCAGGTATAGCATATTTGAGAAACATTCTTCACCCGGTCCACCAGAAAATTTCAATTAACAACGAATCATATCAGAAAAGTCTACTAATATTGTTTTACCCCTTTGTTTAAACCTAATAAACTAAATCGTAGGTATCAGTTAACTGCTAAGCGAGAACTACAGATCAATTATCAATTATAAACTCATTTCATTTCAGCATGATCCAATTTCTCAATCCCCCTCACCCAGATACCCAAAAAAGTCGTTCAGAATAAATACTAATCACTATCAGCATCGTACATTGAAATTCAGCAAATAATTTAAGATTTCAAAACCCTTTTATCCAAGAGAGCAGCAGACTTAGGGTTTTAAGGGTTTTAATTTCAGTTAGTCAAACAAAACCCAATTGTTTGAGGTTAACACTAAGAAATTCGAGAAAAAGAAACAAGGCAAATGCTACGTAACAATAAAAAATCATAAATCTTAAAACTGAAACAAATATTCTTTTTCCTCCTCACCTTCCCAGTTCTGGAAGATGATGACACCAAAGACTCATCTGTGGCCTTCTCTTCTTTGATCTGAGAATCAACTACAATCTCTGGGTTTTGTTTGTCTGACACGAACATGCAATCCTCTAAGCAACCAAGATTCATTTTTTTGCGGTGAATCGGTGACGAAGAAATTGAAAAGAAATTTGATGAAGATCGAATAAGAAAGAGATGTAATCTGGATACCCTGTTTGGATTTTGAGAAATCAAGTTGAGATGTGTGTTTTCTGATTATCTGAATTTTGTTCTTAAAGTCAACCGTTAAAAGAACTAAATAAGATTTTTTTGAAATAAAAAGGGGTAGAAGAAATAGCCGTTAAAGAGCAACGGTTATACCCGGTAGAGATTTTATCTTCTACATTAGAGTCCTCTCTATTTGTGTTACTGTAACAGACTGACGTGCGGATCATCATTTTGGTACTGCATGTTAGTATCTATGTGCAATGTGGTACCTATTTTTTTAATTAGACACCTAATCTTTTCTGGTGCAATTAAGTACCTAATTTTGTTAATTAAATATATTTATTTTTATTGTTTTATACTTGTAATTTTAACATTGTTTAGTTAAAGGAATAGTGTGTTACAACAAATTCAAATATTGACAATTTAAATTTTTAAGAATTAACAAACTCATCAAAATTTAATGATAAAAGAGAATATTATTCTTCCTAGTAAAGTGTATATGCATCGTACCTTATAATCCATTTGAGATTATTCATAAAAAAAATTCTAAACAAAACACATGTTAGTTTAAAATTTTAGATATTTAAAATGGCAGTTACATATAAAATATTTAGAGTCTGGTAATTTTTTCTTTTTGAATCTTGTTGTTCAAACAATTTAACTAATATTGGAATTAGGGGTGAGAGTTTGATCGGGTCGAGCTAAAAAATTTAAAGTTATTCGAGTTGACGAGTCCTATTTTATAACTCGGAGTTGACTTGAACATTTTTCGAGTCGAGTTGAGTTTATAAAATTCGATTCGAGTCAAGTCGAGCCAAATTTTTGAGTTTCTATTTAAATTTAATTATAAATATTTACAATATTATGATATTATTTGATTACAATTTAAATAGTATTTTATAACTATATACGGTACATATATATTTTCTTTGTATGTGATTTACATATACCATACAAAATCGAGAGACTCGATTCAAACTTCAATTCAAACTTGAAAATAGATCTAATAATTACTAAAAAATTCGAGTTTCTCGAGTTGTGTTTTATAACTCGATTTGAACTTGAAATTTTTTCGAATCGAGTTGAGTTTATCAAATTACAACTCGAAGTCACTTTGAGTCAAGTAAAAAAATCATTTTTTTAGTTGAGTCGAGTTTTGCTAATCTCTAATTGGAATATATGCTTTATTGTTTGATAATTAAGAGGGGTAAACAATGGGGGTGTCAAAGCTAAGGCTGAGCAACGAAATTGAGAAAATTAAAAACCTATTCAAATCGAGCTATGCGATTTGGTTTAGGCTTTTTATTTTGTAATTTGGTTTCAGTTCATTTTAAAAATAGTTATATAATTCGGTTCAATTTTGATTTTTTATACGAAAACTTTTTGTTCCTAATCAAACTGAATTAGAAAAATAAAAGAAAATAATTATCCAAGAAAAAATTATTTTGAATTTATTATAAGATAGACTTATATAAATAAAATCTTAAAAATAAGAATATTTTTCATATAAATTTAAATTTATATATTTTGATTCGATTTAAGCTTTAAGTTTGCTTTATTTGGATGTTGAGCTTGAAAACAATGAACAATAAAAAACTGTAAAATCAAACTGAACCAAAACGAATCGAAAATTGTTGTTTTTATGTCTTTCAGTTTTCATTTTGGTTTAAATTTTTGAAAACCTGTAAAGTGTGGATTGGTTCGTATTTTATTAAAAATCCAAACTAAACCAAACTAAATACACCCCTAGTTAGAGACGACTATCAAGGGGAGCACTGCTCAGGGTACCAATTTTTATATTTATAATTGGGGCCCTTCAATTTTTATATTTATAATTAGAGCCCATAATTTTTCTAAATTTGATATAATTTTCAATTTTTTTTATTTTTCTTCCATCTCTCTTATTAATTCATTCATTTCTGAATTTAATGTACCCATATTTTTTTCTCTTTTTTCGAATCTCATTATGTAAAAGATTTGTATATTTGATAATTATAACATTTACAAGTGATGATATATATATATATATATATATATATGATTACAAGGAAACCTAATTATAAGGAAAGCCAAAGCTTTACACAAGGTAAAATTAGATTGATTGGATTAGATTAGATTGGATAATAATCTAATCTTTATCTTTGATACGCCCTGTAAGATAGAGGATCCATTGGAGACACCAATCTTGGATCAAAAAAAAAAGAAAGATTTTGTCCAAGCTGTTTGGTGAGAGTGTTATCATTTTGAGATTTGGATGGAATGTGTTGAACAAATAGTGAACCCACAACAACTAAGTCACGAACAAAGAAATAACCGAGTGCAAGATGCTTCATACGAGAATGAAAGATTGGAATTTTATAAACATATGCGACACTAAGATTGTAACAAAAGAGAGATGGTGGTTTGTTTAATGTCATGTCAATTTCCTGATGTAGATGTTGAACCCAAAGTACTTCTTCAGTTATATTTGCCGCAATACAATATTCAGCTTCTATGGAAGAGAAAGTGACAATATTCTGACGAGCTGACTTCCATGAGATAAGACTAGACCCAAGATAAATAACATATCCAGTAGTGGATTTATCGTTCATAGAGGATCCACCCAAGTCTGCATTGGAAAAGGTAGTGAGATGGAGTGAAGACACCGAGCAAAAAAGAACACCATGACATAACATACCTTTTAGATAATGCAAGATACGTTTAGCTACTGCCCAATGTACATGTATAGGACCTTGCATATATTGCGATAGATGATTCGAGTAATTGTGAGTACCAAGAAGACTAAGTAACCATCAATAATTGGAGATATCTAGTGATATAGATGGCTTAGGTGGAGGTAGTTTGTTGGAAGAAAATATATATGTTGCAATTGCCTTGACATTTTCCATTTGAAATTGTGCCAATATGTTTGAAATATATTACGTCTGATATAGAAACAAACCAGCCGAAGTGGAAATGTCCTCAATGCTAACAAAGTGGTTGAGCAACCTCATATCCTTTAAAACGAACTTCATAGATAATAAATTAGTGAAATGAGTAATGAAGTCAGTACTATTACTAGATAGCAAAATATCATCCACATATACAAGAAGATACAAAATCTGTCTTTGTATTGTAAATGAAGAATGATGCATCAGCCTTGGATTTTTGAAAGTCAAATTGAAGAAGAAATTTAGAAAGCTCAATGTACCATGCATTTGGTACTTATTTTAGTCCATACAAGGCCTTACGTAACCGAAAAACATGATAAGGTTTTGTAGGATCAACATATCCTAGAGGTTGTTTTAGATAGACTTCCTCATGCAAAGTTTCATTTAAGAAGGCATTATTGATATTAAGTTGCTTGATAGGCCACACATTATGAAGTGCAAGCGTAACGATAATGCATACTGTAGCAAGTTCCATCACATGACTAAAAGTGTCAAACAACTCTACTAGCCTCTTGAGAATATCCATTTGCTACTAATTTAGCTTTGTATCAATCAATAGAGCCATCTGGACGCTTTTTCACTTGGAACACCCATTGCACTCTGTGACAAATTGCTTAGATCGCAGAACAATATCCTTTGTATGATTGCACATCAACACATGCAGTTGATAAACCCGTAAACATGTCTTATTTTGTGCCTATTTACTTAGGTTATTGGTTATTTAAAAGCCTATGTCATATCATTTAGTTATATTTAGGACCATATAGTTGCATGCGGTGGTAATGTTTTGCTGCAACATTTTATTATCAAAACCCGATGCTATTGAAGGGGAAAGGTCTTGTTTTATTGGTGTTCTATAGGTGAAGGAAGCTAAAATAGAAGTAGTGATTTGTTTTAATATTCTGGATAAGGAGATCTGAAGGACTGTTGAAGCTGATGGAGATAAAAAATGATATAGCAATTTTGGCCGTAGAAAAAGAAAAAATAACAAATATACTATGCTGTCATGCTGTTCCACCACATGTGAAAGCCCTTACATGCCTTTAATTTTGGAACCACTTGCCAATCTTCCCCATTCTTCACGTGAAAGGTTTGAAATCATAGTGTACAAAGGGAATTTTGGGAATAAATCCCTAGAAAATTCCCTAGTATAAATAGCTAAAGATACCCTACATTTAGAGAGATTTTTGGAATAGTGACCTAAGAGAGAAGAGTAAAGGGTGAATGCACAAAAGATTCCATTTCATTCTTTTTTTCCTCATTTTTGTGGTGTCCTCCATAGTCGAGCTTCAAAGGGGATATCAACTAGGCCCTTGAGAGAGGCTAACTTACTAAGGCGATTCAAGGCAATGGTTCTAAGTCACGATAGCAGATCACTTGAGAGTCTTTTTCTTCCTTATGCTTTCATTTCATTCTTTTACGTGGGTTTGTGTTAAATGAATGATGATTGCTGAAATTAGCCCTGCCATGAACTAAATTATTTTGTATGGTATGCTTTTGGGATGATTTTATTTTGTTTTCAATGAATGGATGAAAGTCTTCATGTTTTAATGTTGTTTTGCACATTGTTTATATATTTAAATGATTAGTCTTGTAAGAGCTTTTGAGAGTTAGCCATTTTATAAATTTGGATGCTTAATATCGAGAGAGTTAGGCTAGATCAATGTGAGCAATGGAGCTAAATCAGGATGGTGAGAATCTAATCTACCTTAGAGATAAGGAAATGACTTCAACGACTAAAAGAGGTAGTACTTAACTGATAGGATTATCTTGCAGTTTATGTTGAGAGGTATTACCGTAGCATTTTCTTTGTTAGGTTCCTTACTAGAGATAATTTAAGAGCACCATAGCAAACCCTGTCAGCATCATACTCATGGAACACAAAGACCATTCTAGAGACAATATTAATTTCCTTAGCAAACCCAACCATTTATCCCTATTGTAACTTGATTGTGTAAGGTTGTTAATTCTTATCTCATTCTAAGAGTTCAATTTTATCTTTCCATAGATTCTTTACTTATTTGCCACAACATTCTTAATTGTTGTCACAATATTTCACTTCAACACTTGCCATATCATTTCCATTCTCCTTATACATACCGATTTGCCACATCATTCTTAATCAATTGTGAATACCTC